TTTTTTTTCCTATATATACATACCTATGATAAAGTTTAATTTATAAATTAGGCATAGTAAGAGATTAACAACAACAATAATAAAATAGAACACAACGGCATACTGTGATAAAAAGTAATGTGAATGGCTTGGGGGCCATTATTAAGTAAAATAAGGGTTACTTGAACTGTCACAAGCACAGCAACACTGCCACAGTTGATCTGATAATCCAGGCAGCTATAAGCGACTAAAGGGTGGGTGGTGGACGAAAGCATGGGTGTGCCGGACCAAGGGATGATTGACATCCCAGGTGGGACAGCGTGAGATGTCATCATGCTACTCAGAATGGCACACAGTTTAAAACTTATGAATAGCTTATTTCTGGGGTTTTCCACTTAATACTTTTGAGCCACAGTTCACCACAGGTAACTGGAACCCCAGAAAGCAAAACTGGGGGAGGGGGAGTTCTGTACTGAGATTAGCTGCTTGCACACCCGCCCTGGCAGCGTGTTTTATCCCTTTGCTGGCAGGCTGCAGCGAACAGGATTCAGGTAGGTGAGCAGGAAATCTCAGATATTCTCAACACACTACCAAGTGTTAACAAACATTTGAGAAAAGCTAAAATCGAGAGAAGCCCCAGACTCGTAGATAAAGAACATAATACTTGAAACAGAGTTAAAAGTGAAGCTCAGTGATTTTAGAGTGGCAAGGACAAACTATCTTCACTGATAATATTGATATGATTTGCTTTTTACATTCTTCTGTCAAGTGTATAGTGGAGTTTAGCACTAAAAGGGACAAAATGTTTTACATTAATAAACTGACCAAATACTCTAAATAAGGATTTAAGAGCCATTGATTTGAAATGTATGATAAAACTAAAACAGAGCTGAGTGATGAAATTAACAAAACCATAATCATTATGAAAGATTGATAGAGCAATTAGACACCCCCCCCAAAAAAAAAAAAAAAACAACACCTTTAACTGCCCGTTTGTGGACTACACTTGGACTCAAAAACTTGGACCACGGGTATTTTGTCTATATCATACAACATTTTTTTCAATTGATGGTGTATCAGTGGCTATTTCTACATAATGAATTACCCCAGTGTTTAGAGTCTCTAAGCCCGGCCGGGCATGGCTTAGCAGTTGAGCATCGACCTAGGATCCAGGCGATCAGGATTCGATTCCCGGTCAGGGCACATGCCCGGTTTGTGGGCTAGGGAGCCGATCAGTGACTCTCTCATCATTGATGTTTCTATCTCTCTCTCTCTCCCTCCTTTCCTCTCTCTGAAATTAATAAAGATATGTTTAAAATAAATAAATAAAAAATAAAAAGAATTACCAGATTAGAGTCTCTAAGTCAGGGGACTAGGATCATCTGAGAGCCCTTCATTCACGTCAGGTGTGGGCTTGGAATGACATGAGCAGCTGAGTCTGCTCAGACGGGGTTCCTCAGTTACCTGTAGCTCTTTGGAGTCCTTTGAGAGTCTTCTTCCAGGAAGGACTAGAAAAGAAAAGCATATTTTTGAATCCCGTAAGTCCTCGCTCTTTTATATTGTCTGTAAATTTTGCTTGAAAATTGACAAGTTCCTTTTTCAGTCCATTTTTCTTTCTTATTATTATGGATAAAATAAACCACTGATAGTTTCAACATTCTGTGTGATTTGCTTAGCCTAGTCCACCAGTGGCACTAGGTACTAGTCAAACAGCCAGCATTGTTCCTAAAATTCTGCCACTTCATCAGCAATCCCTTCCTCGTAGGCCCTTCTAGCTCTACTTGTCACATGGTCTCAGCCAGTGCTGTCTAATTTAGGTTTTTGTTACAATAGTACACCAATTCCTGGTACAAATTTTGTATTAGTTACTGCTGCTCTGATAACAAATCACAAAATGTAGTAATGTAAAGCAGCAACCTAGGAAGACTCAAAAACTAGGATCATAGTGGCCCTCTATGTGGTTTGATTTCCTCACAGCCTGGCAGCCTGGCAGCTGACTGAGGGCAGTCAGACATAGAGGATGGCTCAAGGCCCCAAGGACAAGTATTCCAGGGAGCAAGGCAGGGAGGGCTGCAGCTCCTTTTCTACCTAGCTTTGAAAGACACACTTTGGCTGTATCATATTGGTCCACATAGTCACAAGCCTGCCAGATTCAGAGGAAGGAGACTCGAAGAATGTCACAGAATTTCTCATCTAACAAGTTGTTCACAAAAAAGACCAAGAAATGTAGTAAATTTTATTATTATTCCTTGAAATGTGACCTGTCAATTTATAAGTTTGAATTTAAAAAAAAAAAAACCTTTTAAAAATCACTTTAAAAAGCAAATACCATTGTTTGTTTGTTTAATAGGGATCATGAATATGCCTACAGGATGGAGCTAAAAAATTAAAGAGCTAATATTATATGAATAAGGTCTTAATATGGCTTGGGATAAAATTTTCAGTGGTAGCTTTACAAAATTTTTAAAATGCTGTCTGTATCTCTGCTTAGGTGAAGGTGAAGCTGATACTTCTAGTAAATGGTGTTAAATGACTCAAGAAAGGGCTCTAGTGATGGGACACTGATACTGAAATACTGTAACAAGTTTGAACAAAATTGTCTCATTGAAAAAAATTAGGGAAAAGCATATTTCATAAATATGTGAATTTNATAGTTTCAACATTCTGTGTGATTTGCTTAGCCTAGTCCACCAGTGGCACTAGGTACTAGTCAAACAGCCAGCATTGTTCCTAAAATTCTGCCACTTCATCAGCAATCCCTTCCTCGTAGGCCCTTCTAGCTCTACTTGTCACATGGTCTCAGCCAGTGCTGTCTAATTTAGGTTTTTGTTACAATAGTACACCAATTCCTGGTACAAATTTTGTATTAGTTACTGCTGCTCTGATAACAAATCACAAAATGTAGTAATGTAAAGCAGCAACCTAGGAAGACTCAAAAACTAGGATCATAGTGGCCCTCTATGTGGTTTGATTTCCTCACAGCCTGGCAGCCTGGCAGCTGACTGAGGGCAGTCAGACATAGAGGATGGCTCAAGGCCCCAAGGACAAGTATTCCAGGGAGCAAGGCAGGGAGGGCTGCAGCTCCTTTTCTACCTAGCTTTGAAAGACACACTTTGGCTGTATCATATTGGTCCACATAGTCACAAGCCTGCCAGATTCAGAGGAAGGAGACTCGAAGAATGTCACAGAATTTCTCATCTAACAAGTTGTTCACAAAAAAGACCAAGAAATGTAGTAAATTTTATTATTATTCCTTGAAATGTGACCTGTCAATTTATAAGTTTGAATTTAAAAAAAAAAAAACCTTTTAAAAATCACTTTAAAAAGCAAATACCATTGTTTGTTTGTTTAATAGGGATCATGAATATGCCTACAGGATGGAGCTAAAAAATTAAAGAGCTAATATTATATGAATAAGGTCTTAATATGGCTTGGGATAAAATTTTCAGTGGTAGCTTTACAAAATTTTTAAAATGCTGTCTGTATCTCTGCTTAGGTGAAGGTGAAGCTGATACTTCTAGTAAATGGTGTTAAATGACTCAAGAAAGGGCTCTAGTGATGGGACACTGATACTGAAATACTGTAACAAGTTTGAACAAAATTGTCTCATTGAAAAAAATTAGGGAAAAGCATATTTCATAAATATGTGAATTTACATTTTTATATATTTATATAAATGTTTGCATCCCTGAAAGTTTATTCAAGTTAAAAAAAATTTAGATCTTAATTGTAAACACCAATGGGCCATATACAGGGGTCGGCAAAAGGAGGTGTACAGTTGTGAATAAACAAGACAGTTTGTTCTCGTATTATTATTTATTTACTGTATTACAACTGTACACCTCCTTTCGCCCACCCCTATATTTGAGGTTGCTGCACACTAAAGTCTGTAGCCACTTTAGAAAAACATAATACCTGGTGTCAGTAGTTAAGCACTTCATATGTATACTTTTCCATCAGAGTTAGAATGCTAATTTTAAAAATAATTAAACTTCCTTTACTTAATTAGTTTATTGCCATTGCCTTATTTTACTTTTTGAAACTTTCTTAAAATGCCATTAGGAGAATAATTTACTTTTAATTCCCTTTATAATTTCATTTTAAAGGCTTTTATATATGGCTAAATTAATCTAGGAACCTTATTAAATTCTACAAAATGAGCATTTAGAAGCAAGATAATTATGTTCAGCCCACCTATGTCTTTCTAAATGTGTTCTCATTCAGGTTTTGTTGTTAACTTGGTATTGTTTTCAACAAATCACCAACCATTAATTTCCTCATTTTTTTTCTACCAGGAAGCCACTGTTAATAAAATTTATTTAAGTTTCTGTAATCTTTTATTGTCTTTGGTTAAATGTAGGGAGGTAGACTTACAGTTTTTGTGACCTTGCTCAGCTGTTTAAATTTTCTGTACCATTCACATTTTTAGATGAGGGTTAAAAATGCCTCTTCCCCTTACGGCATTGTGCTTTTAACAGTAAAAAATGCTGAGCCAGTAAAAGAATTAACAGTTACTCAAGTAAAAACAAGTAACGGTTACATTAAAAAATGTAAAAAAACAAATGTGCCAGTATATTATTAATCTAATATAGTGTATTCATTTTTAGTACAGGCTTAAGCTGAAACATTTAGCAAGCTTAATATTTTTAGAAACTTTTATGTGATAATCATAGTATGCAAAATATTTTTCTTGGTTAAAAACTTTTTATACAATGTATTCATATTGGTTTATGTTTAGTCAGGAATGAAATGTTTGACTTTTCAGAAGTATTTGTTTTAATGCCAATATTATGATCAAAAATCTCCTGTAGTACAATATTTTCAGATTAAGTTGAAAGTTTCAGAATATTCTGAGTTTGTTTTTACCATTTTCTAGCCATTATTTTATGTCATTAACATTATTTCATCCATACCTTTTCATAAATTAATGTAGTTTTCCTTTTTAAGAGTTAAAGCATGTACTGTCATATTTCTGTGCTACTTTCTTTAGTCATTTTTCCTTCTGTTGTTCATTTCTATAGCTTTTCTGGATTTGGATAAAAAGGGACCAGAGAAACATCTCTTAGAGCAGCCTTCAGTAGCACCTAGGAGAAACTACTCTTTCACAAGAGAGGAGGTGAGACAGATTGATCGGGAAAATCAGAGGCTTTTGAAGGAACTCTCGAGACAGGCTGAAAAACCAGGAAGCAAAAATATGATTCCTAGAAGATCAGTTGGTCATCCCCCTAAGTTATATCACAGTGCTGTCAACAGACAGAGAGAACAACAAAGGATTGAAAGAGAAAATTTGGTAAGTAACTGAAATTTTTTAGTCCTCAAGGAAATGCACTTGTATTGATTTTTAAGTCACCCAGAAACAGCCTGATTTTCCAACTCAATTATATAAAAGTAGGTTTAGATGTATTTGGCTTGAAGTACCTAATGAACTAGGAGCCTGTAAGATACAATATGTAGATTTTATTTCTAGCAAACCATATTTTAAGGGAACCTTAAGTGAAAATACTGAAAACTCTTATCTATTTGACTAGATCTATTAAGTCATTACGGTAGTGAGGGAGGTGTCCAAGGGTCAGATGTATGTATTTTCTGTGAAGTATTCAGTCACTAGCTAAATCTATTTCATTTTATTGTGTCCCTGGAAATTAACACAATTTATATATCACTTATTTTAAAGAATAAAAGGTCAAATTTGGTGGTCTGCTACTTGAATGTATGAAAGACATTGTTAAAAAACATAGTTATCCTTCAGTGTTCTAAGGAATATATATGGGGACTATTGAAAATCTTCACATTAGAAACATATTATTTTCTTTATAAAATTCATAATAATTGCTGATGTTTACTGAGGTCTTATTAAATGCCAGGCATTTTTCTTAGTGTCTTCCAAGTATTAGCTTATTGAATCCTGGCAATAATTCTTTCAGGTAAGTACTATTTTTATCCACATCTTAGAAATGAAATAACTGACACATAGAGGATTTAAATAGTGAACCCAAGGATATAGAGCTAGTAAGTGGGTGAGAGAAGATTCTAAACCCACACAGAGTCTTAAACTAAAATTAGATCCTTAATGAGCACATAAATTCAGTCCTAAAATAATTGATATTAACAACTACTAAAACAGTTTCCAAAATTCACACTCATGTTTCATCATCAGTACAGTCCTGTTTATCTAGATACGTACCTGAAATTGTAATAATAGCAAAGTCTTAAGTCCTTCAGGAGAGTTACTCTGCATGTGGCAAGGAGTAGACAGCAGCAGAGCACACTGAAATGAGTTGGTGGGTAGTGATCTACATGGTAGCTTTCTGTATATCATTGTAGCAATTTCAAGCTAATTCTGTACCTTTTAAAAACTTTTCTTGGCTATTCCTTTGCATTTGTCCTTCATAATGACATTCTTTTTTCATTTAAAAATCTATTATAAATTTTTATTGGAATTGTGTTAAATTTACATTTTAATTGCAGAGTTTGTTGGCACTCTTAGCATTACCTTCTTATCCAGAAATATGGTTTATCTTCCCATTTATTGAAAGCTTTTTTAGTAAAGTAGAGTAGTTTTGTTTAAAACTATATATTTTTAAGCTTTGTGCATGAAATATTTTTCATTACATTTTCTAACTGCTTCCTTTTGTAAACATGATTTTTGTATATTTATTTTATAACTACCCCCTACTAAATGCTATTTAGAGCCACATTGGCTCTGATGGTACTTTATTGTGATTCACTTTATTTATTTATGTTTTAACTGCTAACCCAAGGATCTTTTTTCCATTGCATTTTAGAGAGTGTGGGGGGGTGGGTACGTCACTGTGAGAGAGACATGGATTGGTTGCCTCCAGTACGTACCCTGACCTGGGATCGAACCTGCAACCTAGGTATGTGCTTGACCAGGAATTGAACCTGTGGCCTTTTGATGCATAGGGTGATGCTCCAACCAGCTGAGTCACACTGTCCAGAGCTGAACTGATATGCTTTTAAATCTGCTTGCTAGGTTGTTCATAGTCAGAACACATGTATGTGCGCACACACAAACACACACACTTGTGGTTATTTCTGTGTCAGATGTACTGCACAAGCAGCGTCCGTTACTTTATAATTTTTATAATTTGTATGCCTTTGGTGCTCTGTCTTCAGTGACAGAGACCAATTCATATGGCTGACAGGCTTGATGACTAAAGCAGTTCTATTCCAGGAGTCTAGCTTTTAGCAATCCAGAGGCTGATACCATTCAAAACGAAGTAGTACTGCTGTGCACGGAGGGTGGAAAAGGAGAGCGAAGAGATGGTTACGATTGAATCCTGAGCTTTAGAGTTAGAAGTATTCTGTTAATCTGCCTTTCTGAGGAATTTTGATTTCCTCATTATTTGTTTCACTACCTTTTCCCCCCTCTCCTTACCAAGGGAAATAAATCAAAGGAATAATAAAGAAAAAGTAGCTTTATCCAGTAGAGGGCGTATTTGCTACATATAGATTCAATTATGTTGGAACTTTTTTTATTTCTAAAAGGGGACTCATTTTTTAATTGATGAATTTTGAAATAGTCTTGTTAAGCCACATTTTATTATCTTTATTTAACATACTAGAAATCGGTGATTTTAATGAAAAGCACAAGAATAATCTTAGCAGAGAAGAGGGAGTCACTGAATTTATAGTTTTACTTTACCCTCTAATAGAAATGAGATTGTTTCATTCTTTTGAATGTGTATCAGTTTCCTGAGCTGTGAAAGAAGAGGGAAGGGGGAATAACTGAAGCAAGATGAGAAAAGTAGTAAGATTTCTGCAGGAATGTATCAGGATTAGAGCCTAGAGCTCAAATGAAGTTAACTTATTTCCATTGTAAGACCATAATCTTCCCACTCAGGAGTTCCTGTGTTAAAATAAAAGGAGTGTGTAGATAAATTTAGAAATTCAGACTTTTCTTAAAAACATTAAGTGAAAAATAAAACCCTCCCTTTTTCTTCTGTTCTTTGTCTGCTGGTCTAGAGGAGGAGTTTTAGAGCTCTTAAAGGGGAAACTGTTAAAGGGGGGCTGATGCATTGTCACAGAGATAAAGATTTACAGCAAATGTCATCCCTAGTATGAGTGTTGATCAGTTGAATAATCGGCACCTTTGTTCTAAGATCTTGAAATAATCTGTAGTTCATTCAATCTGGCTTTCTTTCTTCTCTGCTTTGTCTGTTGTCTCCTCCCATAAAAGAAAGAAATATAATGATAGTTAAGTATCACTACAGCTGTAGAAAATATGGGGAACGGTCCTGATTTTCCCTCAGTATAGGATACTTGTTACTCTCTAATGTCCTCAGGGTCTTTGCTTTATCACTTTAGAAACAATAAATTAACTCTTCTCTGTAGAAAACTGCTGACATCATTAACATATTACTTTTTCATTCATTTTAACCTTTCTGCCTCTGAAGACAGGATTCAGGCTAGGTTATTTTTCTTTCTAAAAAGGATGAAACTTCCAAGGCTTAAAAAAAAGAAAAATATTTAGACAAACTAATTTGAGATTCATTATTAGAATCTGATTTGAGTAGCATTTCTAAGATTTTGTAAACCATAAATTGGAACATAAGTAACCATTCTTACCATTTTTCAATTCCTAAGTTCTTGCTATATGCCAGGTACTGTTGTGAGCACTTCATATGCATTGTCTCGCTTATTACTCAAAACTGTTTGAGGTTTATTTCATTGTTAATATCCCTATTAAGTCCTTTGACCAAGGTTACACAATCAGTGGCAGAGCCAGGATTTAAATCCAGGTCTTTCTAACTAACTTAGGTTTTTTATCACTCTATTACAAGTGTTACAACATTTTGAACAGTCATTTTTAAGATTTACCAGGAGTTGTAAATTGATGACTAGATTGAAATGTATATATACTTTTGATTTTAGGATTTATGCTGGTATCATTACTTCATAGTTTTGATATTGTTTCTACAAGCAAGAGCTATTTCTATCTGAAATCATTCCTTTAACTGAGTTTATCTAAAATATATTGGGACTTCAGTCAGCAAAATAACCAAAAAAATTAGAAACTGACAATATCAAGTTTTCTATAGAACAGCAATCTAATTAGGCAATTAGATTGCTCTGCCAGTGAAATACATTGATGATGTGATACATAGGAAGTTGCTTACTCAGCTATAAATGTCTTAGACATGCAATGGAATTATCTTCCCAACTAAGTTATAAATTATATGACGGGGCAGTATTTTATATTTTTTCTTATATTCCTTCTAGTATCTTACATAGCTCATAGCAGCTACAAACTGTAGATAGAGAAGGTACAATCTTAGGAGGTTTTGCCACCTAAGTTATACAGCTTCTCTGTCTACAAAAAGAGGACAATGTTATGATGGAAAGACCATGGGCTTTACAGATGGAACCATGTTTAAATCATAACTTTCAGCTCAGCAAAGAGAACCACTAGCACTGTGTGGGTAAGCCTTCGGAGGAGTTTCCTTCTAGCCTTTGAAGGCTAAAAACTGGGGAAGGGCATTTCATGCAAAAAGAACAGTTGGCAGGCTGTGCTCTCTCAGTTGGCCTGCCTGCTTCATGTGCTCTGCACCTCTGCCATTTGTCTCCAAGTTCTTTTTATTCTGTAAGTCCATCCTCTCCCTTTCTAAACAGCTCTCCCCTGAATATTTTGACTTTTCCACCACCATCTGTTCCCTCTCTGGGATTGCTCAGGAACACTGATGATGGAACCTCAGGATAGAAGAAGGGCAGGGGGTGAAAATGCTAAGAGCAAAACACTCCGTTGAGAAAAAGTTGTAGAAATGTTTGGTGGTGATGGTTCACGATGATGTACATGTGCTAAATACCACTGAACTGATGCTTAAAAGCGGTTAAAATGGTAAGTTTTATGTTATGTATATTTTACCACAATGCAAAGAAAACCTAAGTTGAGGAAGAAGGAAAAGATTGTGCAGGGGAAAACTTATCCAGTGATGGAACACATGAGGCTGATTTTTAGTGTGAATCTTGTGTGCAGAACAGCATTTTCTTCAGTAAAGTTCAGTGTGCTACAGAGAAAGTTTAAATCAATAAAGAAAATAATAAAACGCAGCCATGGATCAATTCCCCAATTTATTGGTCTCCTTAAATATTCCTTTCTCTCTGATGCCTGGGGAGAAGCAAACAAAAGAAACTCACCTTCTGATTTGTGAAGAAGGAAAATAAAATTAGGAACATTATACATTAGACTCTCAGTGAGTCCTATTAAAATACCATGTTATTGGATACTGTGTTGCCTTGGCTAGCTGGTTTTAAATCTTTAAAAAGCTTTATATTCTATAGTAGTTGGTTTTCAAACTTAACAGCAAAAACTTGTGTGTTTTTCAAACTAAATTTTATGCAGAATCTTCAGTATATGAAACAATTCAGAAAGCATAGTTGGGCTAATAGAAATTAGGAGTGGGAGAGCCCTGTCCACTGGGCCTTACTTCAGTGTCCTTTCACCCTGGAGTCACTACTGGAAAGTTGAAACAGGTTGAAAGCCGCTGCTATATAATCAGATGCAGGATTTACAGTAGCTTCAGTAAGTTTATGGTCATTTCTGGGCTCTTAAGCATTATTATTCCCATTATATCATTTCTGTGAGAAAGTCAGCTTTAATGTATTTCAACTTACAGCACTTTTCCTAAGATTGTAACCTGGTATTAAAAAGAGATGTGCCTGTAATCAGTTGTTAGAATGAGTGGTTTTGGCTATAGGCTAGGTCAAAGCCCTTAGATTTTCCTGAAAGTGTATTATTTGAAATATTTTTTCACATAGTATGTCAACAAGTGATTTAAAGTCTTTTCTATTTTATTTCATGAATTTCAGGTTCTAAAAATAGTTGTCCTTTTAGGAAAAGATTACTGTTTAATATTGACTTTCAAATTGATTGTCTTTAAATGAAGGCTTTATTGAAGAGACTTGAAGCTGTGAAACCAACTGTTGGCATGAAACGCTCAGAACAGCTAATGGACTATCATCGCAATATGGGTTATCTCAACTCATCACCATCCTTAAGAAGAGCGAGGTCAACTCTCAGCCAGTATAGCCCATTAAGTAAGCATATTCAAGATTATTTTGTGCTTGCTTGTATCTTTTATCTTTTTTTAAAAAAAATACAGCTTATGTTCTTATGATAGAGTTTTATTTTATTATTATTGGTTGATCTTGGAGAGGAAGGGAGAGAGAGAAACATCGATTTGTTGTTCCACTTATTTATGCTCTCATTGGTTGATTCTTGTATGTGCCCTTACCAGGGATCAGACCTGCAACCTTGGTGAATCAGAATGATGCTCTAACCAACTGAGCTACCTCGCCAGAGTATGATAGAGTTTTGAAATACTGACTTCTGGAATGGATTTTATGATTTTTCACTGGCATGCTTTGTTTTTATTTGTGTTAGTTCACTTAATTTCAGGTTCCATTTATAGCAGGTAATAGCAGCATAGGAAGGAAACCAGGAGAAAAAACAGTTGAAAATACCAGTAGTTTTCTTAGATAGTAGAAGAGAGACTTTTAACTTCAATATATTTATTAAAGGAAGAAGTAAACAGATGGGCTGTTTAAAAGTTGCTGAAACATTTCCCGGAGCCAGTTAAGAATTATTGGTAGCATCTTCAGCCCTTGTATGTGCTTTGTCTTCCTCACTGAGTAAAACAAAAATTAGCAATCTGTAAACTATTAAAAACATATGTGAGCCCCAGGTTCGTGGCTCAGTTAGTTGGAATGTCGTTCCGTACACCAAAAGGTTGCAGGTTCAGATCCAGGTCAGGGCATATACCTAGGTTGTGGGTTCAATCCCCCCAATTAAAATATGCATTGGAGGCAAACAATTGATGTTTCTCTTTCTCTCTCTCTCTCCCTCCCTCTCTCTAAAATCAGTAAACATATCCTAGGATGAGGATTAAAAAAATGTGAGATAGAAAAGAAAAATTTAGTCTGCACTTAAAATTAGGAGAGGAAGTATATCAGATGATAATTTATGTATTTTGTTTAAATAATTCAAAACATTTATTTTTTTGTGTATTTTCAGGAGGAGCATCCAGGACATCTAGTGCTACCAGTGGTCTCAGTTGTAAGAGTGAGGGAGCAGTTTTTGACACAAACGGTGGCCTGTTGCTAAGACCTAAGCCTCCTAATGTTCGTACAGCTTGGTTATAAAAACTTTTTACTTTAAACATTGTTCATCCAATTTTTATTGAAGTGCTCTTGTATTCTCTGTGTAAACATCTATAACAGCTGTTTTAAGAATTTTAAGTTGTACAACAGCAAATTGTAATTTATTATACTTCAATGGAAAGTTGTTTTCACAAAAGATAATTTAACGTAAAGCCAGTGTTTCCTATGAGGATGTATTTATATGAGATGTATATGTATTTGATAGAGAAATGCATGTATATTGTCTCAGCATAGAGGTCGATTCAGCTCTCCTGCTGACAAAACAGTTGTGATAGTATCACTGCACGGTGGCCTGGAGATAATAACTATATACGTCTCATTTTATTTTTATTTTATTTTCACTTCTTATAAGCTTTGTGCCATGAGCAATACTCCTATATTTGACTGGCTTTGTTTTCTGTTTGCTTCAGGATTTAGGTGGTATGACTCATAACTTGATTGTAACACTTTTATTAATGAAAAAAATCTTGAAATTTGTTTTCATTGGTGGAGCTAATTTACTGGGGCAATCCTTATGACTCGCCAGAGGTATCTACTACCTCTGCCTAAGTGTGCTGAGTTAGGTCTTAACATTGAATCAACCATTCCAAACCATTTCAAACTGCAAGTATTAGAAAGGTCCACTTAGAAGCTCCTTTTTCATGTTTTTGTACATTCAGGTAAAGTACTAGTAATGGTTCTGAGAAATGAGATAGGACTTAGAACTACAGTCTACTTGCATTGTGAATAGTTTGTCCAAGGACCAGATCATCATAAGCAAAACCAAGTGGTTTTTGAATCAGCAAAATAGCACCGCCAGTTTGAAGAGCCAAGAGGCAGATCCTGAGTTGTGTCAGAACAGTGTTTTAAGTGATACTGCTAACAAGCTGTGTTATAGTTAGTATTTATTGTATTAAGAGAAAAGATAAACAAGAAAGAAGTGCATTGTCTCACAACTTTAGAAACTCCAGCTAGTGCTTTTAAGGGCTGAAAAAGAAAATGAAAATATAAATGATGAAGGGGGAAAATAACATATTTGTTGAGGCTACTTTAAATGTCTGCTAATTGTTTTGTTTTCTTTCAGTCTGTAGGCTCTGAAATTATAGCTCAGTCAGGGTTGCGTCTGCTGTTCTTGTTGTCACTGTTTTTTATTACTGGCCTTTTTAGTAGATCCTTAGAATGTTTGGAAAGTTGCCATATTAAATGCCAAACCTTTTTTTAATAGGAATTTTTGATCTGTAACCACAGTAAGAATATTTGTGTTTTTCTGGATTAACTCAAGCTCTGTAGCATGCATGCAGAAAACAAACTGCATTTTACTAAACAGCAATTCAGGATTTCTTGGTCTTAGTGTGTGTTCATCGATTTCGTGTAGGGTAGGGCATGTAATGTCTGGGAACAGTGGTGCTAATATAATTCATGTGAACATAGCCTGACTCTGGGTTGTTCTGCTTCTTTCTTTGGGATGTAATGTTCCTTCATCGTTATTGGATGCTTTGTTTTGGTAAACAGGTTTTTACATCATTTCGTGTTCTGCTTTATATATGAACTTGAGCTATACTAACGCAAGGTTTTATTTTTTAACTTACAGTACTTGTAATGTTTGTATAACAACCTGTCTTTAAGGAGAGATAAGATAACGCTGGATTTAAAACTCAGCATTTGAACATCTGTTCATTAGTGAGTGGCCAATATATTTATATTGAATTTTAAGTTGTTAGGGAAAAATATATGTCAAATCTTTTAATGTCCATAATGGCATTAGTCTCTTAGAACATTTTATATGGTCTTTGCCATATGTTCTGTACAACACAATTTCATAGATAACTAAATTAATGCCTTTGGTTTGTACTGCCTTGATGAGAGGGGCGTCTGATATTACTGATAACAGGGATTCAACTTGAAAGAAAAGTCAAGAAGAACAATATTCATTTCTTCAAAACAATTTACAATCACACTTATATACAATAAGTGTATGGAGAAAGCTAAATTGAAAACTGATATTCTCTCAAGGTACTTTGAAGTTATGGTTTAAGGGGCATTTTTATGAAGGACTGGTAATTATACTGTTTTCATTTTCAAGAACATAAAAGTGAAGGATCGTCTAGCACTACTTTTTATTTGGTTCACTTGTACCTTGCTGTATATACTTTGAAGATTTACTTCTGCAACTAGAAATTATACTAATCCAAGGTCTAAATTATAGGCAGGATTCTTACCGGGAGTTATTTTCATATCTGTCAAATGTTAAACTAATATTGCCTCCTTTTCAATAAAATTCTGTGAAAGATTTTTAACTATTAAAATGATTTCCGAAGAGACAGTTATTATCTCGGGCTTCCCCTACTTCCTTTTTTCACTCCTCATAAAAAGGTGCTTTTCTTAGCTACTGTTCCAAATAAAATTTTCTGGTTTGCTTTTAAATATAGTGGAATGGAGTTGTTTTCAACCCATTAACCCAAATGTCCAAAGTGGATATCTAGACAACTTTAAAAAGAGGTCATTGTGATGGATACAAGTGTGTGCATCCCAGACTTCAGTACTGCACACTGTGAAGTATTATGACCAATATAATGTTGGAGATACAAGGTTAATTTGTTTTATTTTTATAATTAAATTCATAAAATGTGTAATATCTTAAATGCCAAAGTCTTTACCTGTAAATGATTGCATACCATCCTAGAAAATGTGTTTAATGCTAATGACTACTTTATTTCCATGAATAAAGATCAGTAAGAAACTGAAAAATCACTATCTATTTTAAATTTCCCAGTCCATTGTGACTTGTTTTAGTCATAAAGAACTAGCTTGGCATAGTGAAGAAAGAAAGAAAAGAAAGATAACTGAGTTTTGAGCCTATGTCTGTCTCTCAATTGCTTGGTCTTCTTCCCATTTGAAAAATTAGAATAGTAACTTTTACATGCCGCACAAGACTAAGAATTAGTGAGAATGAAGTTGGAAGGAGGGTATTAGAGAGTTTTTAAAGATTTTGTTTAAAATTCCGTTCTTGATCATCTCTTTAAACCACATTGTCTAATTTGTTCTGTAAAATTGTTACAATGCTACAGTGCAAGTTCCGTTTTAAATTGAAGGCTTTTCTTTTAAAAGTGCCTATCTATAACCTTTCATATGCATTATGAGTGATAAGAAATACTCTTTAAAACTTGCTGTCAGACACCAGCTGATTTTAAAATTCTGGTTACTGCCCTGGCCGATTTTGCTCAGTGGTTAGAGCGTCAGCCTTCGAACCAAAGGGTCCCAGGTTTGCTTCCGGCCAAGGGCACGCACCTCATTTGTAGGCTCGGCCCCGCTGGGGCTTGATCGGGAGGCAGCCAATCGATGTGTCTCTCTCCCCCTTTCACTCTGTGAAAAAGCAACAGAAAAAATACCCTCAGGTGAGGATAAAAATAAATATATAAAAATTCTGGTCACTGTTTTTTAATGTATGAGGTAACGTGAAATTTTACTATAATTTAATGATACAGGGTTTTTTCCTATGAACCTAATTTCACATTGCTGTTATAAGGTAGTAAAAGATCTTGGGTAGTCACCAAAAAAGAATTAAAACCTATGGTTCTGAATATACAGTGTGTTTATTGCAATGAGACTTCACAAAAACCACACCACATTTATTTCATATATTGGGATTATAGCTGATCTCCAGTTGGGAGTGTGCCCGATTTTCTTTATTTCATTCTGAGAATCTATATTTCGTGAAGAAAATATCCAGAATTATAAATAAATATATTTGCTTCCCATACAGTTATGCATTCTAACTAGAAAAACCTAATTATTTCATTAATTTGAGAAGTTTTCATTTTAAATTATATTTTAAAGAATATGAGAGGGATGTGGTCCTTTGGTTGAATATACACAAGAAAATGACATTTTATAGATTTTTGTTTACAGTAACAGAAAAGGGCACCAAACATCAATGTTCCTATGTTGTCCCGAAGCAAACACCTGGGCCACAACTGACTGCTGTGGTAATAGAGCTCACAAGGCCCCTGGGGCTCCCTCCCAGTCGTTACTCTCTGCCTGCCAAAAGGCAACTGCTCTCTTACCTTTTAACACCATAGTCATTTTGCCTGTTTTTGAATCCCATGAATGGAATTACACTTTTTTGTGTCTGGCTTTTGCTGAACACATTTGTGTTTGTGAGGTTCTTCCGTGTTGTCTCAGGTAGCTGATACCGTTCTCACCCCTGTCCTAGTCTGACTGGGCTGTGATTTATCCAGCCTGTGGTTCCCGGGCATTGGGGGTGGTTTCCAGGTGTCGACTATTTCGAATAATGGTAGGAAGGTTTCTGTAGATGAGCCCTGATTTCCTGCGCGTGCATTTTAATTGGACATGTTCTTCGTAGTGCAGTTGCTGGGTCAGAGAATCTACACGTTCGGGAGAGAATGGCAGAGATTTCCGAAGTGAGTACCAGTTGACTCTCCCACAGAAGTGTGTTAGTTCCTGTGCTCCGTGTCCTCACTGATATTTAGTGTCAGTCATTTTTACGTTTAACCGTTTGGGTGGGTATGTAGCGGGATATTGTGATTTTAATTGCTCTGCTCTAATCCGATTGGAACACTTGTTCATCTTTATTGGACATTGGGATATCCTTTGTGTGTGGCCTGTTTTTCTCTTGGTCAAATGTCTTTCTCTTGTTGACTTGTAGGAGCAGTGGTGTTTTCTGGATACGATACAATCCCAGTGTGAGTTTTCTCCTTTTTGGGCTTGCCTTTTCACCATGAATGGTGTCTCTGAACAGAAATTCTTTTATTTAGTTCACTTTATCAATCTTTTCTATCTAGTACTTTTTAAAAATATTTAATTTTGTGACATTTTCATTTACCTGAGGGCGTGAAGGTACTCTGCTATATTGTAGAAACGTTGCCTCTCATACTCAGATTTGCAGTTCATTCAGTACCATTGATTGTCTCTTTCACTAATTTTGTTACCTTAGTTATTTACTTCCCACTTTAGTGTTTGGGTTTAATTTGCTGTTATTTTCTAACTTCTTGAGTTGGATGTATAGTTCACTGATTCTCAGCCGCCTTTTCTAACAGATGCATGGAAGGCCATACATTTCTTAGCATAGTTTTAGCTGTTTCTTATAGGTTTTGATACCATGGTATTTTTATTTTCATTAAGTCCAAAACATTTTCAGGGTTCCATTCTGACTTCCACTTTTAAAATAATGGATTCTTTATATTTTCAGTTGGATGTTTTAAAGTTGTGTTTGTGGTTTGGGTTTATATGAAGTTATTCAGGAAAAACCTGAAGCTCTGGATCAAGCTCAGTAAGTGACAGCCATGGACCAAGATCAGCAGCTCAGTGCCCGTTTATGTGGCTTTTACTTTTTTGAATCGGTTTTCTAAGGTCAAAAGAGTATTTTGTGACATGTAAATATTGTATGAAATTCACATTTCTGGTCCATCCATAAAGTTTTGTGGAACACAGCCACAACTCACTCACTTGTCTTAAGAGCTGTCTTGCGTCCAAGACCATCTGGCCAACCACGCCTAAAATATTACTTCAGAGAAAATGTTTGTTGACCCCTGCTCTGCATGGTATTTCTTCCAGACAGACTTTTGTTTCAGACAGACGGCAGGAGTGCTTGAAATCTCAAATCACCTTAATCCAGTTAAGTGATTGAGATGATCTGAAGCTTGGCATCCATGACTGCAAGGCCAAACTATTATTCCCTGTTCACTCTCACTGCTAGGGTGTCCCCCTTTGGGATCTAAATCCAAAACAGGTTACCAGGGCTCCCCTTCCTTGGCAGGTCGAGGATTCATTTTTGTGCGTCTCTCCCCAAGTGCCTTCCAAACTCACCAGTCCTTCAGCCTTTCAGCTGAATTTTCCACAACTTGGAGGCACCCGGTGGGGGAAAGCATCAGATGGGGAAATATATCAGACTTGACTTCTGGGTTGTCTTCTTCCAAAATCTTGGCCCCATAACTTTCCATGCCTTGCTACTCCCCAGTGCCTTCATGCAGATTTTTATTTTAAATATTTAGAACCCCTTTTTTAGTTGTCAGAGGGTGCATTGGTTTGCATTGCCTGGTCTGCCAATATGGAAATCTTCTATAAACTGTAAATATACTGTTTTTAAAGGTAATTCTCAGATCTTAACAGTGAAGTAAGTGTGTTAATCTTGAACCTGAATTTGTTTGGGCAGCCATCAAATGAAGCAGTCCCATTTCCTCTAAGAGGTATCTACTAGACTAGGATAGATAAAACTTTGGATATGGTAAAGCATAGACCTTAGTTACTAAAGTACAACAGAGCAGCCGATGTCTTAGTGGGGATGCAGGACTGAGTAGGTGGAGGAGCTTGGGAAGGAAGGTAAGGAGCGGTGCAGAGGCACTGCACGGCTCAAGCCACCTATCGGGAAACAAATGTGCCCGCCTTTCAGGCTTTGCCTGGGATCCAGGTACTTGCTTCCTTCTGGTAACTCAACAAGCTAGAACTATATGAACTGTTTGTCTTCTGGACCAAAGTACCTCATTTCCCACTTGAAATTGTAATTCTTTCCCTCTTGCTCAAAAATTTATGCTTCAGATCTAAAACTGACCCCCCCCCCCCC